AATGAAAACCAAGAAAGCGTCTCATAAAAACCTATGCGCTGCATGCGATAGATTCAATGCAATTCATAAAATGAACCTACCATGTTTACTTGCTTGACCCCGCATGCATCCCATGCCCGTGCCTCATCTACAAAGGCCTTGGCGTCAGTGGAGTACTCGAGCCCGCTTCTCCTCTCGGACCACCCAAACGCGCTAACCTATTTTTTGGGGGGCTACCACCGGTTTTACAAGTTAGCACACAGGGTGAAACCATCTACAAAACCCGAGGTAGACCAACCATGGTTTCTTGTGTATCATCATGTATCACCTATACTTTGGGCTCAAAACAGACTTAAGGCACACCTGTTCAAAACTCAAGTCGCTGAAATGTACGAAGATCATCTGTATAGGTCCCCCAACAAGCGCTAAAGTGCCTTGACAACGACTAAAAAGAGGTAAGCCCGAAACACCCAAAACCAAAAACATATGACAGTCCTCGGAGTGATTGGAGCACTTGGCCTAAAGTGAGTAGTACTTATACTGCCGCCGATGTTGACGATCATAGCGCCGATCATGGCGCCGATGTTGACGGCGATTGCGGCGGTTGTACCTGGCGGCCGCTCACACGCCGGCACACTGCGAGTGAAGTTTGTGTCAGACCTGGGGTGTCATCACCAACCTCATGGCTTGCCAAGGTGAAGCCTGCTTTGGTTACAGCACATAACATGTAGGCTTCGCGCCTTCAACCACAGCTGAGATGTTGAAGGGTTCGGGTCAAAGCATGCGTCAGCTTCAGTGACCATGAGGCGCAAAAATCAAGTTGAGAGATCTCTGTGGCCATGATAGCAAGATCTATCTTTTGTGAACGCCTATGTGTGCGGGCCACCACCCTGGCACCATGGAAAATGGTAGAAAGGAAAGCCGCAGGCTTCGTGAGCTCGGCGGCGAACGGTTTCCAGGAAGACCTCGTGAGAGTTTTTGCCTTTCTTCCCATGAAGGTGCATTGGCATGGGGCAGTTGGGCTGCTAGCCGGAAGACACAGCCTCAGAAGAGAGAATATGAGAAGGCAAAGCTGAGGCGGCGCTTGCTGGCGCTTCTGCGTCCCCACTCTCCAGCAAACCCCAATACCGTAGCGGGTTAGAGCTTGGAAAAGTTTCCGCGCTGCACCAAAATGAGAACATATGAGAGCCCTACGCTCCAGCGCGTCTTCCTCTCCACAGTGGTCACAAAGGCCGATTTGACTCTGATCGAATTTGGCTTGGAAAGTCTTGAGGACAAAGTTCCATTCCCTTGGGCGCAAACTAACTCCTGTTCAGACTCTGTCCAAAGCAGAGCAAGCAGGACGCGCAACATGGCCTTAAGAAGGAAAGACTGCAGGTCGGCAAAAGGTCACCAGTTGCGCTCCAGCCCAAAAAATTACAGAAAGCAAATATGTTTGGGCAAAAGTTGCGAAACGGTCAGCGTTCAGAAAACCTGGGTCTGTGTGGATGAGAAACCAGAAAACCAAATCCCTCAGCCTTTCACAGCGCAGAGCCCGCGCCCTACAAGTCCGGAGCTTGGTGATCCAACACCAACACGTTCCCAACAGCAGGCACTGTAGAGAGCTATGCTGCGTGTATGATTTAGTTTGTGTTGCGAAGCCAGGATCTTGCAAAGCCGGGAGCCGTAGCAGTAGCACATCATGGCACGTAGGTCTTTCCCACCCTCCAATACCCGAACAAGCAGCCGCATCAACTGCCCACGCCACAGTCTCAGCGTATGAAGCTGGCTTTCCCGGACGCAAAAGCCCCTGGCGCACCCTCAAAGAGGCTGGCTCCTGCGCAGCAGCGGTTTCACCTTCGGAACGATTGAGAGCCGGTCCAAGATTGAGTAGCGCCACAGCAATGAGATCCATAAGTCGTGTTTTTCTCACTGGAGACATCAAGTACTTGCAGCGTGCGCGAACAACGTTCTTTTTTGTGGCGTCAAGGGCATTAGCTGCGTTTTCACTTCTGACTGGCAGCGCGCTTGTCTTTGATGGGCATGATGATCTCGGCTAGTCGTCTCCAGAAGGCAGCGGGCTGAAGAAGCTTCTTGGCCTGTTGCAGCACTGTCAAAAGCCAAAACAACCAGAAACCCTTCCTCCTCAGGCACGAAGATCCTGCCATGACCTACCAGCTGCTCGACAAAGTATTCTTCGGAAGTTCTCAGGCTCGCGCGAGGAACAAGTCCACGAAGATCAATCCCAAGCTCCCGACAAGCAAAGCACAACGACGCGCAGTCACAAGGCTGCGGAAGCTTAATCTTGAAGCGTGGCTGACGTTCAACGTTGATCCCAATGATCCTGTCACTATACATCAGAGAAACAGGTCAGGCCAGCACGCAGCACGCGACCGATTGACATATACTCCTGCAGGCACTACTGACGATTGCGAAATGGATCCTCAAGAACCTGCCTCAAATAACGACTTAGAGCGCTTGCAGCGGTGATGCAAAA